AATGGAAACACAAAAGTTCATAACACTAGTTTTCTGTTCAAGGATGCAACAGCATAAGTAACCTGTCTTCTCCAGCACGAATCTTGGGACGGTTCCTCGCTTGTTATGCGCTCACAATGCTTGAAGACAAACATTCCATGAAGCAGACAAATCATCAAAAGAGGCTGTAAACAAGGGTATACACTATACATTTGCCATAACTTTCCCAAGTACATACTATAACTGAACAAAAATGATGCTTTAAACAAACAAGCTAAACAGAAAATATATCGAAATAAAACAAGACACTTACTGAGGTGGCCATCTCACTTAGCTCCGATCTCTGCACCATAACTTGGGTGGTTCACAAGTTATCTCTGGGCGACACCTCGCTGCGAAGCCTAATGCTTCGGAGCGGAGTAAACCCGAACACACTATTCGCACTCTCGTGCTTACCATACTCTTAAAATGGGGAAATAACACCAACCCTTCACAAAGCCCTCTAATTTGACTAAAATCCCAGAGATTTTAGGTGGTGTGATTTTACTAAGAAGCACTGCGGCTTAAAACATCAGCACCTATGTTACATTCACCTTTAATGTAGTCCAGGGAGAAAGAATATGGCTGTAGAGAAAGTGACCAACGCATTAATTTACCATTACCATTTTTCATATTTCTTAAGTATGTCAAAGGTTGTTGATCTGTTTGAAGAACAAATTCCTTTCCGTAAAGATAATACTTGATTGTTTCAATAGCCCAAACTATACTTAAACATTCGCTTTCTATTACAGCATATTTCTTCTCACGTTCCAGCAAAGTCCTATTAGAATAAGCAATAGGCATCAACACATCATTATGATCTTGTAGCAACACTGCACCCAGACCAGTGTCTGAAGCATCGGTTCTTAGAAAAAATGTTTTGGAGTTTAATCTTTTCCTTTTGTTCATTAGTCCACTGTAGGTTATTACTACTAAACTTTCTCAATAGTACATTTACAGGTGGAACTATATCTGAAAAGTTAGGAATGAACTTCCTATAAAAGGACACAGTACCTAGGAAAGATCTTAGTTGTTTCTTGGTCTGAGGGAGAGGCATATCCATAATAGCACCCTTATCTGAAAGTGGTTGAATGCAGTTCTTGCCTACGGCAAACCCCAGATATTTAATTTCATACTGAGCAAGAAAACACTTATTTGGACCAGCTGTAAGACCTTTCTAGAAGAGCTGTGACATCACGAATGTGATCATTCCAATTCGTATTGTGTACAACAATATTATCAAAATAACATTCAGTGTTATTTAAACCATGTAATACCTTCCTCATTAATCTAATAAAAGTAGCACAGGCCGTTTTCAACCCGAAGGGCATTCTAGTAAATTGCATAAGCCCACGGCTTGTAGCAAAAGCTGTTAGAGGTTTTGAATTATCCGAGAGAGGAATTTGCCAATACCCTTTGCTCAAATCAAGTTCAGTGAAATATGTATCGCCCACAAATTTACCAAGTGCTTCATCCATAAGAGGCATTGGTTCTGCATAAAAAAAGCAGACTTCATTTAATCCTCTGAAATCAACACAGAATCTCCATGTGTTATCATCTTTCTTTGCTAGGACTACTGGAGAACAGTATGGTGAGGTACTTGGTTCAATTACACCAAGTTTGAGCATGCGGTCAATTTCATCTTTATAATGTTTGTGCAGATGATGAGGCACAGGATAAGGTATAATATGCACAGGGACATCGGTAGTCAAGTGAATTTCATGAATGATGGTATCAGTTCGACCAGGATTATCTGAAAACACATCTTGAAATTTGCTTACTAATTTATTTAAGTCTGTAACCTGTTCTGTAGACAACTGTGGATTGATGTTAAGTTTATTTTCAACAGCTTCATCTAACAGCGAGATATCACAAACATCATTAGCACAAACTGAATCATCAATAATGCAAACCTGACAGACTGAGTCTTTTGGTTTAGGTTTTTCTTCCCGCCGGACATACTCTTTCAACATGTCAATATGGTAAAGCTTAACTTTGCCACAAGCCTTAATCAAATAGTCGACTTCATTGTCGTGTCTCTTCAACACAGAATGAGGACCCTTCCACTGCATTTGAAGTTTATTGTGTGAAGAAGGAAGCAAGACCAAAACTTCATCCCCTTTAGAAAGTAAAAAATAGCCTTTATATAATCTACTGTTGATGGCAGCATTAGCCGAAGCTAGTTTGGCAGAATCTTCTAATCTAGTTCTTAAATCTAGACATATTGATAGGTATTCTTACTTCAAGTTCATCTTTTGTCTACAAGTCATGGAGAATGGATATTGGGCCACGAACCTGTCTCCCATATAGTAATTCAAATGGAGAAAATTTGAGTATCATTAGGTATTACTCTATAAGCAAAAAGTACTGAAGGTAAGTATCTATCCCTGTCATATGGTTTGTCTTGACACAGCTTCCTTAGCATTGCCTTCAAGACTGAATGAAATCTTTCGACTGTGGCATTACAACATGCGTGATAAGGACTAGTGTAAATGGCTTTGATGGATAATAGACGATTGATCTCGCTCATCAAATCTGATTTGAATTGGGTCCCTCTGTCACTAAGAATCTCTTTTGGAATGCCAACCCATGAAAAAATCTCTACTAGAGATTCTGCAACTGTTACAGTATCAATGTTCTTTAGTGGAACCGCCTCTGGAAAACGAGTTGCATAGTCTATTAGGGTCAAAATATATTTCTGTCCACGACTGGATGGTGTTAGTGGTCCAACAATATCAATTGCAACCCTTGAGAATGGTCACTAATTATTGGCATGGACACCAAAGGAGCTTTTCGAATATTACCCTTAAGGGGATGACTTCTGGCAAACATGACATGATCGGCAATACCGCTTTATATCAGCACCTGCACCTGGCCAGAAAAATTATGGAATACCTTTTTCTGCTGTTTTTCTGTGTGAGAAGTGACCTGATAAAGTAGAATCATGAGCTGTTGACGGTATTGCGTAGATTACTGGGAACTACAAGTTGTATCATTCCTATCTCATGTTCATTTCTACTCTTCACACAGATACAATATATTAACCCATTGACTTTCTCATATTTGACTGTGCAATGTTTGACTGAAACCAAATTTTGACTAACCACTCTCCTCCTAATTTTGTCAAGACTAGGGCAGTTTGTTTGAGCTTCAATCAAATCAGACCTTGAAAGATTACCCACAGAAATCTCAGGGACAAGTGGACTAGGTGCTTGTGCCCTTGTCTGAACACCCAGTACTTTGCTCATTCCGTTATATTAAAAGTACGACATTTCTCACCCGGTGCTTAATAGGAGATGGTAGCTTGACACCCTGAACCATTCAATCAATACATCAGTAAAATTTGATTGGGGCTGCTACTGCTCTAACCACCATTGATAAATTTACTTTATGAAACAGCGAACCTCTGGGAAACTTTTGTCAAAGCCAAATAGTCATACAATTTAACATCATATTACCTCTTTAATGTTTGGAGGAATGAGTGAATCTTTCACAATAATGATAGAACACCAGTATCAAAGAGACTTTAGCAGACTTATTGAAGACTGTCCAATATCTGTAATGGTAGTTATTTCGGCGGAGGAAGAGCACTTAGATTCATAAGAAGGAGCAGAAAGAGGAAAGGAGAAAGAGAAGGAAGCAAAAGGAAAAAGAAGAAAAAAAAAAAAGGAAAGAGGAAATGAAAAAGAGGAGAGAGACAGCCTAGAGAGAGAGGAAAGGCCAAAGGAGTATCACCGTTGACAAGCGCGCGTCCTGGCGAAGGAACCCGACCGAAGGATTTGGAGGAGGCAGGAGGAGGCAACCCGAGATCCGGCCGAGGAGAAGCACCACCCCCCCCCTCCTACCAGTCCTCTTTCCTTCCTCCTCCTCCTCCTCCTGATTTTCCTCCTTCTTCTCATTCTCGTCTTTTCTCTATTTTTCGTTTTTTTTCCCTGTCCTGCCTCCTCATTCTCATCTTTTCTCTATTTTTCGTTTTTTTCCTGCTCCTCCTCCTGATTTTCCTCCCATCTCATTTTCCCCCCAAACTTCGTTCCTCTTCTTTCATCTGATCCTCCTCATCACCATCCTTTCCTTTTCCTCCTTTCGTCTTCTTCCTTCTCGTCCATCTCCTTCCCTCCATCTCCTCCTCTTCCATCCTCCACCTCCTCTCCTTCTCCTCCTCCTCTCCCTCTTCTGGTACCCTGAGAAGGACTCGTCTTACTGTCTCATTCCTCTCGTCTTCGTCTCTTCTATTTTCTCTCCTTTATCGTTTTGTCTGTCTGTCTGTCTGTCCTGTCTGTTTTCCTATCTCTGCTTCAACACACATATAGAATGAAAAAAAAAAAAAAAAAGAAAACAAGAAAAAAAACAAACATATGCATACACATATCTTTGTAAATATGCGTATGTTTGAATATACGTACATGTGTGTATTTATGCTGTATATCCAACATACATACAACCCATCTTCAAAAATAAATATAAATAAAAAAGTGAGAAAAGACTCTGCCCCCTCTAACCCCCTCCCCATGCAACCAACCCCTCTCTTTACAAGCCAACCACTTACCCCAAACCAAAAAATTCACCTCCCCCCCCTAAAAAAAAATATCACCTCCCTTAAATAAGAAAATGAACACCTAAAAAGGTCCATTCCCCTCTAAAACAAAAAATATTCCTTTCAAAATAAAATTCATCCAATCCCCCAAAAAGAAAGAAAAATCCCCCCCCCCAAAAAAAAATAAAAATAAAAAATCACCACCTTAAAGTACCCCCCCAAAAAAAAAAAAAAAAAAAAAAAAAAAAACTCTCCCCTTAAATAATAATAATAATAATAATCACCCCCCATAAAAAGTATATATCACCTTACCCCCCCCCTTAAACAATAATAATAATCACCCCCCAAAAAAAAAAAAATAATAACAATATGAAGACCGAAAGGCATTGTCCCCCCACCAAGTCCTACCCCCCGCCCCCAGACGAGCCTCAGACGACCTACCTTGTCACACGCCCCTTCCTCTTGGTGGAAGCCCTCTTCTTGGGGGACTTCCGGAGCGAGGACTTGAAGGAGCCGCGCCGGGGGAGCTTCACGATCCACGAGGGCGGGACGATGATGCTGGAGTGCAGTCCTGCCGAAGGAGAAGACGGAGGGGGTTAGAGCAAGGGCGGGCGGGGGCTGGCGAGGCCGGGAGGAAGCGATGGGTGGAAGGGCGTGGATGGAGGAGGTGGGTGTGTGGGGGGGGCGTGTGTGAGCGTGTGTGTGTCTGTGTGTGTGTGTATGTGTGTTTGTGTGTGTGTGTGTGTGTGTGTGTGTGTGTGTTGTGTGTGTGTGTGTGGTGTGTGTGTGTGTGTGTGTGTGTGTGTGTGTGTGTGTGTGTGTGTGTGTGTGTGTGTTGTGTGTGTGTGTGTGTGTGTTTGTTGTGTGTGTGTGTGTGTGTGTGTATGTGTATTGTGTGTGAAGTGGATTGTTCAAACATATAAAATGATAAGACAAAAACATATACAGGAAACAGAAGGACAACATCGGGTGTGAAAATATGGCACAGACATTATGCGTGCGTGCGTGTGCGTGGAATTCATGACGAACAGATTGCAACAGGAACAACAAAGGGAAGGACAAGAAAACACACGAATATGCGTGTGTGTGTGTGACAAAAACAACAGGAAATATACTATCAATATAATCACAATACACTAAAAGTAATGATAATAACGATAAAGATGATGAAAATAACAACTGTAATGTTACAAGATCACAACACCAGCATAATAACACCGACAGTGTAAAAGATAACAGGGATATTAATTAGGACAATGAATAATTAATAATACAGCCAATATCACAACGTCAACATGACCCACGTAATCATAATACCAATAACGCTGCCGCACCTTACAAACAACAAGAACAATAAGAACATCCCTTTTTTCAAAAGTCAAACATCACATCAGTCTACCCGACAACACGTGAAATCGGGCAAGTCGTGTCCGCAGACTTTTTCAGACAACGCGGATTCAGAACTCGGCCGATTCCCTTCAATATTTTCAAGGTCGATTAAAAGTGTGGGTTTCAAATTTCATCTCAAAGGCGCCGGCTTGACGTGACCCTACAAAACGCAAAGATTCAAGAGCAATATGAGTTTTGAATTGTAAGGTTAAGTACAGGAAAGCAAATGTCATGTCAGTATTTAACATGATGGAAAAAATAGAAAATATTACAGGCTACTGTTTTGCGCCATCTTATCTCAATCCCATTAATCGCCATAGTCAATATCAACATTTATTAACTTTTATGTGAACGAAAAAAAAAGACGCATAAATAATATATACCTTAGAAAAATATTTTATGGTTGTCTACACAAGATAAAATCTGTCACGAATTGTAATGAAAACAAAGAAGATAGTCATACACGCACATAAGGATACATACACATGTATATGCATGTTTATACATAGTGTACAGGTGATATTGTGTATAAATCTATAATCATGTCTCTATGTGCATGTATATGTATATAAATAAACATAAACACGCAACACACACACACACACACACACACACACACACACACACACACACACACACACACACACCATCCATGCATACATAATGCCACAACCCCGCCTCTCAGCCCAGTGACAACCAAACCCGCCTTGCCCGCCCGCAGCGCGCCCCTCCCAGCATGAAATTCATCTTTAGTCCGAAATTCATCCTACACGCCCAGCTGGACTCCACACGCCCGCGCCTACTGCTCTCATGCACGGGGGAACAGGACCAATCATGAGGTTGGCTGCTTAATTCCCATCTAATGATTGCATGGTGAGGGAATGGGGAGGGGGAGGAGAGAGGGGGTAGACATGGAGGGGGGGTGAAGGGGTCGATATGGAGGGGAGGAGGAGGGGAGGAGGGCAAAGGGGTGGAAGGGAAGGGGGACTGGGGAGGGAGGGGGTCGACATGGAGGGGGAGGGCAAAGGGTGGAAGGGGAGGGGGAAAGGGAGGAAATGAGGGAGGTGTGTGGGTTCGACATGGGGGGGGGAGTGAGGGAGGGGGGAGGACAAGGGGGAAGGCCAATGGTGGAAGGTTGGAAGGTTGGAAGGGGAAGAGGGACTGGAGAAGGGAGAAGTGGGAGAGGAAGGAAGGGAAAAAAGGTGGATTATAAGGATGAGGAAAACATACCAAAACGGGTAAGACGAGAAATTAGACAAAACTAAAAATAAATGAATGAAAAAATGAAAATAATCTTTGAAATAAATCCGAACACGAGAGTGCAATCTCATATTAAATAAAATCTGTTGCAAAGACCCCATGAAACATTACACATGATTAACGTCAAAAGCCCAGAGAGAGAAATGCAAATTAAAACCAATATCCAGCGACTCCCCTCCAAAAAAAGAAAGAATAAATGAATAAATAAATAAATAAACAACACAGGCACATAATGACAGGACCAACTATGCAAAAAAGAAGAGAAAAAACATATACCAAAATGAAAGTAAAAAAAAAAAAATAAAATAAATAAATAAAAAAAATGAAAAAAATAAATAAATATATAATAATAAATAAATAAATAATAATATAATAAATAAATAAATACAAAATATAATAAATAAATAAATGAAAAAAAACATAAAGACAAGAAATACGAGCCCTACCCCCCCTCCCCCCCCCCCCCCCTACCGCCCTCCCTCCCCCCACCTACAGCCGCCGCCCATCAAACCACAACGTCCTGTAACCAGGCAATAACAGCCAAAGAGTCTGTCGCGTCAGCTTTAACACGATCCACGGGGCTCCCGAGGTAAGGCCAAAACCCGTGAATTATAGACAATGGAGGCTTCTGCTGACCCCCCCCCCTTCCTCCCTCCCTCCCCCCATGAGAACCCCCGATCTCCCCATGTCCTGCGAGAGTGTCGTCTTCGTTGCAAAGTTGTTGATGTTATAGTGTAAATAACAATGGTATTAACGATAATGGTGATAATAACGATAGCACAAACAATAGCAATAACAACAGCATCAATAATGATACTCCTACTAACGATAATGATGATAATAGCAATAATAATAAAATAATAATTATGATTGTCATTATCATCATCATCAACTTCATTGTCACATTTGTTATTATTTACATTTCATTGTTATTTTTATCACCGACATCAATGTTATCATTACAATCATCATGATCATAATTCCTCTTTCTTATTATTATCAATCACCGTCATCATCATCATCATCATCACCACCACCATTAGTATTATCTATATCATCATTATCTTTATCACCATCTTCATTCTCATCATAAAATAAGTATCAGACTGAAGCATTTGTGAAATTCTGTTTTATTTTGAGACGCCAAAATACGTTTCGAGAATGAATTAGTTTCTGGAACAACGCGGAGGCATGTGGACATACTTGTACATACATACATGTGGGTGAGAGTAAGTGCATCAGCGCGTGTGCATAAAATATACGTACATCCACAAACACACACACACACACACGCAGCACGCCACATACCACACACACACACGCAGTACGCCCATGCATAACTACACACGCGCACACACACACACACACACACACACACACACACACAACACACACACACACACACACACACACACACACACACACACACGCAATCACAGAACACAGATAAAGAGGAAATGGATATTAAAAAGTACAGTCCCCCCACCATACCCGCATCCCCTACCACCCCACCACCACCCTATCCACATGTAGAGGAAATAGAGATTTAAAAAGTAAACTGTCCCTCCACCATACCCGCATCCCTTACCTACCCCCACCTCCTCCACCCCACCCACATCCCCTGCCCCACCATACCCTCCCCGCCCCTCGTCCCTGGTGCATATCCCCCCTATCCCCACCCTACCCCATCCCTGCCCGCACCCTACCCCATCCCCTCCCCCACCATACCCCCTTTCCCGCCCCTCGTCCCTGGGTCATTCCCCCCCCCCTTCCCACCCTACCCCATCCCTTGCCCGCACCCTACCCCATCCCCCCCCCACCTTACCCCACCCCTGCCCCCACCCCCGCCCCTCGTCCCTGGGTGCCTACCCACCCACCCCATCCCTGTTTCCCCACCCTACCCCCATCCCCATCCCCCCCCAACCCCCCCATCCCACCCCACCCCCCCTATCCCATGTGCACTCCCCCCTCCCCGCCCCTCGTCCCTAGGTGCACTTCAGCCTGACGCGGGGCCCTAAACAGCGCAGTTTGGGCCAAGGGCGAAGTGGCCGATGAAGCTAATGAGTGAAGTTACGGGCGCGCAGGTGAGCCGGGCCGACACACCCACCCTTCCTCCTTCCTCTTTCCTCCTTCTCGTCAGTTTTCCTTCTCTTCCTCCTCCTTCCTTCTTCTCTCCAGTTTTCCTTCTCTCTTCTCTCCAGTTTTCCTTCTCTTCCCTCCTCCTTCTTCTCTCCAGTTTTTCCTTCTTTCTCCTCCTCCTTCCTCCTTCTCTTCTTCTCTCTTCTTCCTTCTCTTTCTTCTCTCCATTCCTCCTTCTCTCCTCCTTCTCTTTGGAGGCAATATGATTTCTTGTTTTTTTATCCCTTCTTCTTCTTCGTACATGTATTGCTACACCTCGTTCGACGCTTAACGATCTTCCTCCCCTTCTTCCTTTCTTCTCACTTTTCTTCCTCCTCCTCCTTCTTTTTCTCATTTTTCTTCTTCTCCTTCTTCTTCTTCTTCTTCTTCTTCTTCTTCTTCTTCTTCTTCTTGTTCTCCTTCCCCTTCCTTCACTTTCACTTCTTTCCTCCTCTACCTCCACCCTCCTCCCTCTCCATCCTCACCAAGATAACTGAAATAAAGTCTTATGGATAACTAGATTAAAACATATTTTTTTCTCTAAATATAACAAACATCCCACGAACAATGTCTGTATATTCCAAGGGATAGAAAAGATAAAAAACACCATTATGGAAAAAAACACAAACTATAAACACCCGGAATGCACGAGTTAAATAAGCATTTTTTAAATGAATTTCTGAGAACTAGCTTATAAGGTGCTTATCAACATCAAAACAATATCTTTCAGTTTTTTTACATAGTCACTTTTTTTTATCTTTTATTTTGCCATTTCAATCACCGAACCCCGATGGAAAAAAAACA